GAGAGAGAGAGAGAGTAAGTGAGGTCTAATGGCTAAGAGGATTAAATCCACATAAACAAATTAGAAAATTCTCCACTTAGAAAATGTTACACCTAGAAATTCATTCTTGAATTGTATGAAAAATTTTTCAAATAGCTCTATGAACCTGAACTATAATTTAGAAGGCAGAATCAACTAAAGGACCATAAAAATTATATGGAATAAGCAATTATACAGGAAACATTTCAAAGGAATTGTTATTGTATCAACCCTTTCTAACATTACCCTCTTCAAATAAAATTGAATTATATGCCAAGACACTATAATCAGAGAACAGGTTCTAATGCTTAATTGCCCAAAGAAATAACTGCCAAAGGAGTTACAGTTGATTGGCCAACTCATTATGCCACTAAAGCTTTTTTAAGGAGGATGTTCTATACTTTTGATTCCAAAATCCATTCTTTGATTGAATTTCAAAAATTTAAGAAAATGACCTTGATGTTTTCCCTATAGACTAATCTAGAGCAGTTCTCTCATCATTTTTAAATTTATGCCTTCTACCTAGCTTTGTCACTTTATATTGTGTACACCTCCACTAGCCAAAATTTCATTTAACTGATTCACTTTCTAGATTTTGTTTTAAAAAATAATAAGTGTATTGAATACGCTTTTACAAGCTACAAGTAACACCATTTGAGATTTCTGCTCTACCACCTGTCAAACACAATTTTAATTAAGTTAAACGGGTATTTGCAGCTTGTTTCTATTACATCTACTAATGTAAAACAAAGTTAATAAATTTTAAACTACTCATTGACTTTATAAAAATAATATATTCCTACCATCTTATTGACACATCTATAGCATATCCCTTAATGTCTTTCAAAAATGTTGATAGGGTTCCTTTCTATCTAAATATTGAATGTGCTATAATTCTAGCAGTGCTCAACTATCATGCACCAATGACATTTTTTTTTTTATATCGCATGATGAAGACAATTTACCTGATCACCTTTCTGGCAACAATAACAGATAAAAATCTCCTGATTTACTTGATATGTTGTCTTTTAATTTGTTTACTAATAGCTATTCCCCCAACACCTACATAGTAGATACTCAACAAATACTTGTTGAAAGAATTATATTATGCAAGTTCATTCACATAATTCATCATACAAATTAGAAATTAGAAGTAAGAAATTCACTTCTTAAGTGAAAGGAGGCAAGGCTAATTAGCACATCAAGAACATAGGTGTAAACTAGGACAATCTCAGGTAAACCAGAACATGTAAGTACCCTAGTCATAACTTATTCTCATTTAATGTCAGTTTCTGACCAATAAAATTATATAAAAAGAATCCTATAGTTGATAAACTTCATAAAAATTCTATGATATAAATTTTAAATTATTAGTAAGCCTGAAATATTGGTGACACAATTCTACAGAATAATTAGGCTTAATTTATCACTACTGAAAACATGTAGAAACTTATAATATGTAAATATAAACTGAAATAAATATATATTACATATATTGTATATACATATTTTTATATAGACCTATTATTTAGAGAAAACCTGACAATGTAATCTTGATTTCATGAAGCTTATACAAATGCTCCTATCTTCCAAGTATTCTAAAGAGAAAATGTTAACTTAACATTTGTAAAATAGTCAATCCATTTTCCATGAACTGTAATTCTCAATTAATGGGATATTAACGCCATGCTAATTTTTCCCATTTTAGAAAAGACAAACTTATAATTTTACTTAGTAATTAACCAAATAACACAAAAATGCTCATGTAAAAACAATTAGAATATCTAAATCTTACATTATATCATTATGAATTTTAATCTTGATATTAAGTACGTATTTGTCTTTCATATGATGAAAATATAGGCACATAAATCAATGAAAAACATATATGCTTCTGAAGATTCTAAGGCCTTGGGTTATATACATAATGAAGCAATAATGAAAATTATTGTTAAGGAATATTAATGGAAAGTCCTGTCTAGCACAAGAACAGTAAAATAAAAACTTTCTCACTTTATTTTAAGTAGAAAATCCAGCCAAATATTTGGAAATCTAGACAAGACTTACATTCAACAAAAGCTATAGAGTCAATGGCCTTAGAATACACTCCATGGGAAATGTATTTCCCTCAGTTCTACAAAAACAGTATTAGGAAATCTACATGCCTAAAATTATTCCAGAGAGTTTATAGTCAAGTATCTAGGAAATTACCAGCAACATTGTTTACCCAATTTCTTACTAATATGGAAAAATAAATAATTCTAAAATTCTATTAATAGAAGTATAAACCCACAGATACCTCCAGAACTGAGCTACATTTTAGTCTTAAGTTATATTTTCAAGCTTATTCATAGGTAGTTCTAACCAAATATTACCAAGTGTAGCTTTAAACATAAGGGAATTAATAGGTTCTAATGTAAAATACAATTCCTACCCTAATCCAGTAAACACATGTACTAATAAAGTATAGATAATTACTAAAGACTATCTACAATTAAAAAATTGAAGAATATAAACTCAGTGAAAATAAAAAGGCACTGTGAAGGCAAGTAAATACTAAACTGCAAGAAAACCTATTAAATGTGATTTGGGAAAAGGAGCTCTGCCATTCCTGGAGCTTTCCAGAAACTGCTTTATAAAGATACCTGAGTTATGTTGTAACAGTGTTAGTTCATAGTAGTAAAAACTACATCAAAGGCAATAGAAATAGGTTTTGTGGGGGTTTTTTTAAAAACAAAAAAGGAAAAAAAGTCTAAAATACTAAAGTGAGCATCAATTAAGAATTTTCAGGACTGCACAGATCCAAAATCCTTAAGTCACTATAATCCAATATAATTAAATAGATACTTGGTGTGAATTTAGAAGCAAATTCATTTAAACAATAAATGATAATATTTGTATAAAATTAGTTTCCCAACATCTTTCTATAAGCAAAGCATGAATTAGCCAATTCAGAGCAGAAGAAAAAGAAGGAGCAAATGCCACTCAAGCATGTATCAGTCTTCTTTGGGGCAAGGAGATGAGGGAAACAACTCTCCCAAGAAGATTCACAAGTTAGAGTTTTTGGCCAATGTATTCTAGGTAATAAAACAGACTTTGGATTCAGGCAAAACGCTTCCAAGTTTTAATTATCATTGCAACAAAACAAAGACAAGTGAGTTCCTGGGTTATCAGACATGTTACATTCAAAGGTAAACACTTAAATCCAGTCATGAGCTAAATATAAACATCTGAAGTAGCTGCTGTTTGGAATTATCTGTGCAACTTAGAGCACTGGCAATCAAGAGTTGCCTACATATACTTCTTTGTTCCCTCCATTTGTTCACATGGACTGGATAATGAAGAGCAGCTTAGCCCTCTTGGAAAGAGCCAAGAAGAATTTTATCTGGCAACTCAAGAAATACAAGGCAGAGATCATCAGCAAGGGTGAGGTGATATTATTATTACTATCACTCATTTCATTATCATTACAAAATAAAAACCACAGTAGAAATTCTACCATGTTAGTAACTTTACCAAAATAAAGATATAAAGCAAGTTATTATCCAGTAATAGGCTACTCATTTTAACTTTCTTTATGAGTTAGTAAAGTGATAAAAATCTACCATAAAAATGGCCTTAGTTAGCTACGCCAAAATGTGTTTATAAAGTTATTAAATATTTAGTTTGTATAAGTTGAGTAGACATCAGTAATAAGACTGTACAGCTAATCTGCACATGAAAATAAGTCAGATATAATAATCAAAACAAGCCAAAAAGCACTAGAAAGTGTTTTCATATACATTAGGTTTTTTGAGCCTTAAAACCATCTCTTAAGTAAGGCAGATGTTATTAAACACCATCACCAGTTCACAAAAGAAGTAAAAAACAGAGAGAGCTCAAGACTTACCTAAAATACACAGCCAGAATTTAAACATTTAAACCCTAACTTCAATCCTATTTCCCTTTCCACTTAAAAACAGCTTTTTCTTTTAGACTGATATTGTGAGAATAAATTTTCTTATCTTGAAGTTTTACAGTTCTTATTAACATCAAACTAACAATGTGCTTATTTTCCCCAGCCTGAAGTCCCAGATTGACCCCAAAGACAAAACTGGAAGGAGAGGGTGTGTGTGTGTGTGTGTGTGTGTGTATGATATATATATATGTCCATCCCCAAATGTATTTCCCAATTGAAATATTTAAAAAAAAAACAGTTGTTACAAAGTTCAGTGCATATCTGAGCTTTCTGGGGTGTGGGGGGGGGAAGGGAGCATTATTTAAAAACTTGTGTTTTTCCCAATCAACCCAGCTTATTTGTTCCCCATTATTTTCCATCACTAGCTCTACCACAATTAATCACATCTAAAAGTGATTTTTAAAAAGTTTTCTTATCTATTACAAATAATTTGAAATATCTTTTTGTGAGTATGCTTATTTAAACATGCATAAACTCAGAAAATCAATATTGCAAAGACTTTTTAAAAAATCAACTGATTCCAAATTAGGAAGCTGAAAGCTAGAAGCTGAAAGTGATATGCATGATGCCATATAGTTAATTACTTATTGGCAGAGTTTAGACTAGAACCTAGAAGTCTTGATTCTCAGTTAAAAACTCCTTCTGCTGTTACATGCCACCTCTTTAAATCTACTTTAAATCTTCCAAAAGATAGTTTATTTGGATAATCATTTTCCTCAATCCACTTATGAAGCAACATGGATTCTTTACTTATTTTAGCATATTCTCAATTCCTCAAGTTTATTATGTAAGCTAACATGAAATACCAAATGACAGAAGCAATCAATAGGAAAATATTTTAAGAAACACAACTTGTACAATGATACTAAGACTTTCACTCTGTTTTGTTTTGTTAAACCTCAGGATATTTTTCCATCGACTTTTAGGGAGAGTGAAAGAGAGAGGGAAAGACAGAGAGAAACATCCACATGAGGGGAACACATTGATTGGTTGCCTCCTGCACACCTCAACCAGGGCCTGGGCTGGGGAGGAACCTGCAACCAACGTGCGTGCCCTTGACCAGAATGGAACCTGGGACCCTTTGGTCCACAGGTCAATGCTCTATCCACTGAGCAAACCAGCTAGGGCCTAAGACTTTCACTCTGGAACTTCAGCATATGTGCTGGTTTACGAAAATTAATCATTGTTTAAATGATACTTTTGTAGAAATAGCAAGTCAGAATGTTTTATAGTGAAAACCATTACATGTGGACTTTGAAAGATTTCAGTGCCTGCCAGTAATAAAATTTAACAACAAAAATATTATGGGCCACACAAATCTTTGCATTTCATTGTCCCACGTATTTGAAAACCCGAGTACTCCAAGTCATTATTTCCTTTAAATATGAGCAAGAGCTATAGAAACAACACCAATCTAAGTTCCTCAGGAAACAAGGTGTCATAACAACAACAAAAAAGTGATAAAGAAAAATTAGTGGCATTTAGGAAGTGTAGGAAAGCAGACATGTCGAAAGGTCTAAAAATGTAACAGACAAAACATTCAAAATGAAGCCAGAAAAATGACAGAAGTATGTACGCATATTTAGTAAGGGTTTGTTGTTTGTTAGCATACAGAAGTGACATAGTGAAAAGTTACTGGTATGTAAACCAGGAGATCTGGACTCTAGTTTCAGTTTTGCTGCCTTGTACAAGCAGCTCTCTGCCTCCATTTCCCCACCTGTAAAATGAGGGTGTTGGACTAGATCAGTGGTCGGCAAACTGGCTCGAGAGCCACATGCGGCTCTTTGGCCCCTTGAGTGTGGCTCTTCCACAAAATACCGATTTCTGTGCATGGGCCACGAAGTTTCAATCACAATGTATGTGCATGCCCGCACATGGTATTTTGTGGAAGAGCCACACTCAAGGGGCCAAAGAGCCACATGTGGCTCGCAAGCCACAGTTTGCCGACCACTGGACTAGATCATCTATAAGAACACTCGAGTTCTGGGTTAATACTAGCAATGTTCCTTGAGTGTAGATTCTCAGCAATTTTAAATTTATATGGAAATCATTCAATCTTATCTATATTTATAAAAATCATTACTATCTTGGTAGCATGCTTAAAAATCATCTATGTTACCAAAAACTATGAATAAATATAAACATATTGTATACATACACATATACTCATTAGGTTAATTTTATATATTAATTTACAAGTCAGCATTAACTTTTCAGATTTGATTTTTTAAAATCTTTATTCTTGAACTTATTACAGGGGGGAAACAGGAGATATTGTAATACTATTAACAATAAGAAACATATTTTAAAAATATTACCTATGTCCCTTCAGATGTGATTTTTTAGTTAATTTTTAAAGTAAACTTAACTGAATTTAAAAAATCTTTTTACCTTACAATATATGATATTATGTTAATATTAGTTGTCCAGAAAGCTCACTAATTTACAAAATAAATTTTTATTTCTTTATGTTTACAAAGGAAAAAATTCTACTGGAATAAAAGCAGAATATATAAAGTCAACTTACATCATTCTATAAATGAGGAAATATAACTTTTAATGTTTTTACCGTATTTATCACAGTTTTACTTGTAAGTTCACTAAGTTTTGTTTGTATTTTAATAATAATCAGATTGAGGAAGCAATATTGTGACATGTTTAAAAGCATGGGCTATGGAGCCAGATGGCCTAGTTTTAAATCTCAACTCTACCACTTCCTAGGGCTGTAACTTTGATCTAATTTATCTCTTACATAAAATTGGAATTGTAACT